TGTGCCTGGGTGGCTCAGTCGATTGAGCATCTGACTCTTGGTTTCAGTTCAGGTCGTGATACTGTGGTTTGTGAGATCAGGCCCCACATCAGGTTCTGCAGTGACAGCTTGGAGCCTGCTTGGGATTCTCTCTCCCTCTCTCTGCTCCTCCCCAACTCGTGCAGCACATGCACACTCTCCCTCTCTCTCTCTCTAAATAAACATTAAAAAAAATAAAAGCAGCTGTGGTAACAGTGCTAATATTAGAGCTCTCTGCTGCTCTACATCCCTCTCCTGGAACAGGGAGTCTCTGTACATCTCCATTCCCTGCAGACAAGAGCTCTTTCTAGATCTCCATTGTCCATTCCAGGAATTTGGCTCACCACGCTCTTGGAACACAGCCTTTTTTTCTGAAGTTCACACATCCATCCATACCCCCTTTTTCACTCCCTCACCTCTGGCTAGGGAGCTGCATGCAGAACATTCTCCCACTTGCCCTAACCACCTCTGCAACTCCCTCTCCATTTTTCCTTGTCACATCCCTACTGGGCGTACTTACAAATTCAAAACCAACACTGATTCTGATGCCCTGACCTCAATATCTTCAAATCCTGGAAGTCATCACCCCCAACCCCGCTTTGTCATTAGGCCCACACTTTAGACCATGTTCCCACCGGTCCACCTCTAGGATCTCCGGTCCTGAGAACCGGTCCACCTCTAGGATCTCAAAGTCTCAGTTCTCCCTCTCTGATTTTCTCCAGAGTTCCTCCTTCTCCTGCCCCTCAAGCCTCTGCCATCATATCAGGTCTCCCCTTTTCTCCCAGTTCATCAGCCCCTCCCTACTTCCCAGACCTCCCTTCCCAGCCCCTGACCTTTGGCCCTTCCGAAGGCCATCTTCCACACCCAGTGTGATTTTTTTTTTTCAGCTCTGCTGAGGTATAGTTGACACATAAAACTGTAGGCTATTTAAAGTGTACCTTGTGGTGATTTGATACGTGTATACATTGTGAAAGGATCCCCCTACCCCATCGAGTTAATTAACACGCTGTGATGGATAATTTTAGGTATCAGCTTGACTGAGCTTAGGGATGCTGAAGTGGCTAGTAAACATTTCTGCGTGTGTCTATCAGGGTATTTATGTAAGAGATTAGTACTTGAATGGGTAGACTGAGTAAAGATCCACCCTCTCCAATATGGGCGGGTGTCATCCAATCTGTGGAGGCCCAAATAGAACAGGTGGATGGAAACTGAGCCAAGACACCCATCTTCTCCTGCCCTTGGACATCTGCACTCAGGGTTCTCCAGCCTTCAGGACTCCAAACAGGACTTAGACCTGCTTCTCTGGGCCTCCAGGTTGTAGATAGAGAAGATGGCACCCCTTCTCCACCTCCATAATTATGGGAACCAATACCTCATGATCTCTTTCTATATACCTATACGTATCTTATTGACTCTGTTTCTCTGGAGAACGCTGGCTAATACACCCAATTACCCCAGCACCATCCAGTGCCCTCAGTTCCGCTCTGAGTTTGTTCGGTGCTGATGGAGAGTCTTGGCACCTTCATGTTCCCCAGCCCCAAATGATCATTGCTTTTGTACTCCGTATCGTATTTCTCATACAAATGCTATCAATGTCTCCCATACTTCACAAGCCCTGCTCAGTCCCCCCCGCCTTTCCATCTCAGCAGATGGTTCTCTCAGCCTCTTTACTGACACTAAGTGCATCTCTCCTTGAATTTTCAAAGCTCTTAAGCTTACTGGGCCCCAGACTCAGCCAGTGCTCCCTGCATCTAACCAGTTGTTTGTGCTCAAAATATGGGGGTCATCCTGACATCTCCTTCTCCCACGCACCTCACACTCATCAATCTCCAGAGCTTGTCCATTCTAGTATGAAACAAATCTCAAGTCCCTTCCTTCCTTCTTTCTCAGCTCCATCATATATGACTTTTTTAGTCCTGACCACCATCATCTCACTTGGATGTCCAAATGATGTTTTTTAAAATGCAAACCCGATCATGCCCATTCCACTGTTTCAACCCCCTAATGACCTCCCTGTACTAAGAGGAAAATGCCCTTAGAAGACCTCATTTGCTCCTGGATCCTCATTTTCTGCCATTCTTTCCTTCACTCTCTACGATCCACGCTTTTCTTCTTTCAAATGGCAAACTCTTCACCACCTCATGGTAACATGCTGTCTTCCCACACTCCTACACCCATCTCCACCTAGAACATTCCTGTTTGTCTTTCAGTTCTCGGCTTAAATGTCACCTCCTCAGGTGCTGCCCCCCTTCTTCATTCAATGTAAAATAGATGTTTTAATATCTTAGGAGACCCTGTACTTTTCTCTCATATTGTTTATCACAAATGCAGTGACACCATTATTTTGTAATTACCTGCTTAATGACTATCTTTTCCACTCCACTATAAGCAACTCAAGAGCAGGGACCCTAGCTCATTTGCCCATTGCTGTGTCCCCAAAGCTGGCACAGGGCAGAGTTGGGTCCTAATCTCCAAGGAATGAGCCTCTGAATCTGGTGAAGCAGGAGCGGGGGAGAGGGGAACAAGTCTGCGAAGTGAGGACCCCTTTGATCCCCTTCTCCACAAGCCTCCCACCCGGCTACTCCTCCTACTGTCGTCTCATCACTGCCCACCATCCTCATGGAAATATATTACTTTAAAATTGTTGAAAATATGCCACTTTAAGAGAATGTGCTCAGAGGATGCCATGGTCTCCCCGTGCACCCCTCACCCCCATCCCTCAAGCCTCAATCAGCCACTTCCTGTGTTCTGCCTGGCACATAGTGCGTCATTTGTTGTATGAATGAGATAGAAAGCTGCATTCTTCCCTCTCCTCACCCTTCCCTCTGGGTGCCTTTCCTCAGAGTCCACATGTCCCCAAACCGTCCAGATTAGTCCCATTAGTCTCTCTCTCCTTCTCAAGGTTTATCTTGTTGCTTGACCCATCTTTCTGTCCTCTCTGCCCCGTCCCTGTGGCCTTCAAAGGTCTTCCTAGCTGGGGAGCAGGGGGAGCAGGGAGAACTTCCTTGATCCTCCAACTCCCTTGATCCAGCCTCCTTATTTCATTTTCCCCTTAATGCCAAAGTTCTTGAAAGAACAGTCTCCAGGCGTTGCATGTCCTTCCTCCCCACCCCACTCCCGACTCACTGTTATTTATTATTTTATTCACTCATGTTTTGGAGAGTTAATACATGTTCACAATACAGAATTCAAAACATTCCAGAAGGCACACAACCAAGTATCTTCCTTCCATGGTGTCCCCAAGCCACATGGCTCTCCTCAGAGGCAACCCCCACTGTCAGTACCTTGTCTATCTTTCTGGAGAGCATATGCATACATATATTCTTGTTTGCATTTTTTATACAAATGGAGGCATTTATGCATATCTTCCATCCTTTGCTTTTTTTTTCACGTAAAATATGTTAGGGGGTGTTCTACATCAGGAAATCCAAAGCTGCTCCCTTCTTTTAAATAGCTGCCAAGAGCCCTCTGTGAGGATGTACCACAAATTCTCTGCTGTGGACACCCAAGATGTTTCTAGTCCTTTGTTCTAATGAGCATGCTGCAATGAGTATCCTTGCATATCTAGGATTTTTCCACCCTTGCAAGTGCATGTGTGGGATAGATCCACAGAAATGAAATTGGATTTTGCATTTGGGAGTTAAATTGCTTTCCATAAGGGCTGTACCAGTTCACCCACCCACAGCACTGTATGGGAGGCCCTCTCTCTCCCCAGCCCAGCAGCTGCCAAATCCTACAGATTCTTCGTGGGCGTCTCTTCCATTCTTGCCACCTTCCCAGCCCTGCTGAGCCATGCTGACAAGCACTTCCTCCTGCTGCAGCTGGGCCCATCCAGTCTCCCTTGGCTCGGGAAACCTCAGTTCCTCCCTTGCACCCTCGCATGCGTTGCTCCCAGCAGAGGACTATGCACAAAGCTAGAACTCCATATGAATTAATGAAGCCTGGCTCCAAATGAGGCACTGTCATCCTAGTACTGGCAGATGGCATTTCCAAAGTGAAAAAATACTCTCCCCGTTCTGCTTCTTTAAAAAATACATGTTTTAGTTATTCCTTTGGACATAATGTTTGGGGGGGGGGGTGCCCGCGTTGCCATTGTTGATTTGTTCTTTAACTTAGTCAACCAAATAGAAGGCACTCTTACTCTGATCTCCTCATCTCCTTCCCCCGAGTCCCCTCTGCTTGGCTTTCACCTTTGCTACTGCTGTACCCCCCTGCTAGACCTTCTCCTAGACCTCCTAGAGACAGGGGTGGCAAGGGCCATCTCCAAGGCCCTGCTCCATGCTCTAGTCCCAGGGGCCCTCCAGCGATGCCAAACTCTGCTCTCCATTCTGTCCTGTTCCACCAGCTCCCAGGGCACACACAAAGGCAGGAAATGGGCCTCCAGCTGGGTATCACAGTAGAGTCCTCTGACATTTTAGGAGATGCTTGGATGGTAAAAAGAGTCCTCGCATTTTCCCATTTCTTGAGATCGCAGGACTCAGCATTCCCGGTCTACCCATCCCTCCCCATCTCCACCCCACCGTGCCACACTCAGGGTGTTTGGGGCGGGGGCGCAGTAGACCGGAGAGAGCGGGAAGGGGGGACGTCCGGAATGCAGGACTAGTTCACACTGCTGCTGGGGCGGGAGAGGGAAGGGAGGAGAGAGGGCGAGGCGCTGGAAGGGGTGGGAACCGCGGGGCTGGCCCGGGCGGGACGGGGCACGCTGTGTGCACGCGCGTGTGCGCGGCGTTGAAATGCCCGGCGCTTTGGGGCAGCAGGACAGAGCCCAGGGCGCGCGCGGAGCCTCCCAGCGTCTCGCACCTCCGGCCACAGCTATGACAGAAAACTCCGACAAAGTTCCCATCGCCCTAGTGGGGCCTGACGACGTCGAGTTTTGCAGTCCCCCGGTGAGTACAGCTCCGAATCCCCGGTCCCGCTGCCGGGTCAGTGGACACGCAGGGCCGGGCCTTTGCGCGGGTGCCTGGATCGACTGCCCGGAGTCAGGGATTTGTGCCACCGAATGTGGGAGGTGGGTCCCCAAATATGCGCGTGTGCAGGGGGCCCGGGATCCGCAGACCAGTGGGGAGGGGAGCGTGGGCCGGGACCCAGGAGCAGGCGTACTGTGGCCGGCGGAGGGTGCAGAGCCGCGGGGCGATGGCCCTGCTCCGCCAAAAGTTTGCTTATCGTACATCCACGCTGAGTTCAAGGGACCTTCGGGAGGGAGCGCCGCGAAAGGGCGCACGCCGTCCCCCACCCCAGCCCCGAGTCCCAGGCGGCGCGGCGCAGACGTGACCCGTGCTCCCCCCACCCCCGGCCCCGGTCCTCAGGCGTACGCCACGGTGACCGTGAAGCCCTCCAGCCCCGCGCGGCTGCTCAAGCTCGGAGCTGTGGTTCTCATTTCGGGGGCGGTGCTGCTGCTCTTCGGGACCATCGGGGCCTTCTACTTCTGGAAGGGGAGCGACAATCACGTAAGTCCAGAGGGCGTCGCTCAGGAGTGCGGACCCCAGGGCGAGGGCGAGAGCGGGTTCGCGGGGCGGGGAGGTGCGCGGGGGCCGGGAGGCGCGCAGGGCGGCGGGATCCTCGCTGTTACCCGCACGTTCACCTCTAGGTGGAGCCAGAGCGCAGGGCCGGAGCAGGCGGCTCGCCCCAGCTGGAGCTTTCCTCTGGGTCCCCTCGGGGCACCTTCTCCCTTCTTCCCTCCTACACGCCGGCCGCGCTGCTCTCTGCTCTTGGCTACTTTGTAGAAAAGCAAGTCAGGGTTTTATCAGAGAATATTAAAAGGTAGAGTAGCGGGAAAATCCATGGACAGGTAGGGGAAAGCCATTTTCTGCCGGTCTCAGCGGATCGTTTGCAGTCGTGTGACTGTGTGACTGTGGGTGAGGCACCGCACCCCTCTGGCCTCATCCCTTGGGTTAGAAATGGAATTCAATGATCTGTAGGACCTCTCCCAGCTGAGAAGGGCTGTGACTTTAAGAACCTAGGACAAAGATAGTGGAGTAACATTCAGACCCAGTGTTGGGGATGAATCTGAATTTTCAGGAGTTTTTGTCTGTTTATTGCATAAGACCTATCCATGAATGCTCCCTTCTCTCTTGCCCTAAGGAAAAGAAATTCCTTAAAGGTGGCAAATCTCTTTAAAAATCAATTCTGGCCTAGTCACGTGTGATTTAACGGCAAATGTTTCACTAACTGCTGTCCCACTTTCTTTGTATGTAACTATTTTATAGCTCCACCATCTCTCAAGGAGTATAAAAACTGCTTCTAGCTTGACTGGGCAGAGTTCCAGGGTGTTCTCTAAATACTCTGAATTTTGTTCACCTATGTAAAGGGGGATATTTTATCTTGATGACCATTGCCAGGCCTGGTATAAGCTTATTTCGACTAATGGAAAAGAATTCCATCTCCAGGGTGCACACAAAGGGCTGTTTCTTAATCACTTCCCTCAGAGGATCTGTGGCTGCTGTTTGCGGGGGGAACCCCCCCCCAACCATGAAACTCAAAGCATGAACGAATTCCAGTACTTAGAGAAAATGGTGCTGAAAGCAATTCAACCATTTTACACATCACATCTTCTGCAGTCACTGCATAATTTGTATTTTTAACTCAAATGCCTACTGTAGATAATCATGCCATTTAGCGCTGAGTCTGTTTTAGAGACTATATCAAATTTACAAGCATCGATTTGTAAGATCAGAATTGCACAGTATTTTTGTGTGTATTTGAAAAGTGCTGTAATGTATTTGTATTTTAAATAGAAAAGTTAGGCCAAATGCTCATGTTTGAAAGCAGCAAATCTGAACAGGAGAACAATTTCAAGATCTACATCTCCATTAATAGCAGGGTTTCTGATTGTCACCCTTTGGGAAATTGTATGGTATTCGAATGTAAAAGCTGTCTTTTCGATGACAGAACCTCAGTGGTACAGGTCATTTGGAGATAAAAATAGCTTTGCTTTTTGGAGGGTAAAGATTTTAGGCATGATGTATATTAAAATGAATACCATTTGGCATTTAATTATTCAAGGCAAACACAACTAACTGACAAGCTTCTAAAAAGAGAGATGGAGTGATCATACTGACTAAGTAGGGCTCCCTCTTTTCATCTTCTACTTTACCCCAAGAGTCTGGTCCAAGAGAGCAAGCAGTATTAAATTCTAAGAATACAGAGGAATAGTGAATCACATTTTCTGGCCAAAAATGAAGTTATTGCTATTTCCTCTACAGGCAGAAGAATGAAGAAAATCATGGTAGACATTTTTTTACTCCCAAAATTTTTGGCGCTGATCTATCTCACCCAAGTCTGAAAAACAAATCACAAAACACAAAATAGAGTACGTTTGGCACCATCTATGCATAGTACATGCACAGGGCCACTTTCTCTGGAAGTGTAAATAGCCCAGACATAATGTAATCCAGAAAGGTAAGTCTCTGTCAAACAAAAAGATATCCCCCACCAAATGGACTGCCCACTCTTTGGGGATCATCCATGCCTCTGTTCTTCTATATTAGCTTATAGAGGAGAACCAGCTGTAATTCACCTCCTATCCCTTTCATATGGGTAAATCCCCTAAGGACAGGTTTACTGGAAGTCAGCTGCAGGACTGTGGAAACATCAGAGTGCTAATAACTGGGAACAAGGGACGGAGCTCAAATTTCGAAGCCAGGTCTCACCCACGTTATCGTAAACGGAACAGGCATTGAAATCTGGGATAGCCTCGCCTATATGAGATAGCTGACCATCCTACCTTGTGGGATGAGGGGATGAGATCATTGCTTGGGGCCTTTGTTCTCAGACTGATTTTCCTAGATATTGTCCCAAATGTTATGTAATTCATCTTATAGAACCCAGACGTCATTAGAAACTCATTAGC